GAGAAGGGCACTTCCTTGTTCACTATGGCGTGAGCTCTTTTAGGTCAGTATGACTAAGCTTTTTGAGGGCAAGGGCTGTCCCTATCCGCTGTTAGGAGTGGCAGGGGCCAATGGTGTCCCATGAATCAAGTACCTGCAGCAAACTGGGTTTTCCACAAGGGCCGTATAGAAATGAGTTGCCACTCGCTTTGTCTCTAAAACTAATAAGCCTACTCTGTGAGTCTATTGATGACTTGTTACCTTATATTAAGAGTTATTATAATTTCTATGACATGTAAATATTAAAAATAGACAACATTAAAAGATATGCTTAACTTTTGATGTAAGAAGGCTTTTAGAAATGCTTAGTTGCATGCTTGATACAAATGGTTTCGAGTCAGATTGGATTAAGATTGGATTAAGTTTTCAGTTCTATAATCATGTGTAGTAGCTGCTGATATGGTACAGGATATTTCATGTAAGGGAAAGGACTAATGAGTTGTTTTCTTTTACGGAATTTTTAGGTTAGCTGCTGGGTATTTTTGTGTTGTTAGTGATGTGATTGTTCATTGACTCACTAAAACTAGATAGTCTCCATTTTGGCTGAACAGATTCTTAGTCCTGTGTGTTGTCAGATAATCACCGCTTTGTTTTCCTGTTAGAATTAGTGATGTGTTTATAGTCACATGGTGATATTACCACTTATTTCCTGATTTGAACATTAGTACCCTATTCTTTTGTTTTTATTCACCAAACTGGGGTTATAAAGTAGTCCCTATCGTGTAAATCTGCTACCATTGGGTAGGGCACTCAAGTTAGTTGAAAAGAGCATCTGATGTGTTCAGGCTCAACAAGTCTCAGCTGAAAAAAAAAAAACTATAATCAAGACAAAAGTGATCTGCTTTGGCTGTTTCAAGGGACTGTTAGTTCATCTGAAAAAGAATTCATGAGAGGTATCATCCGCCAGTTCTTCTCAATAAAGTAGCAGCTACTGGGACAAGCTTTACAGAAGTTCAGTCCCTTTAATTAAAATGTAAAAGCAAACAGATCATTTGAAATAACTGGAAACAAAAACAAAATGGGGACCAAATGGTGCCATGGTAAATGGTGCTCTTGCAGGCTGAGCCCCATGAGAAGGTTCTGGAGACCACCCTAATGTTGACTGAGCCCTGGCGTAGGGAGTGCTGTCTCTCTGTCTATTTCTCCATTTCTTTCTGTCTGTCTCACTCATGGAGGAAATAAGCTTTTTTCCCCCAGGTTTTTACCATAGGGCTTTTGTGCTCACCAGAGACAGAGACTGAGAGGGAAAGTGAGAGATCACCCCTAGGAGGGATGGCCACACCACATTCCCTTCTCCTCCATTCTCCTCTCAGGATTTTGGGCATGCATACACGTGCACCTGGCATGATTTCAAGCTGCCTGGTCCAGAACTCAAACCATGGTCAGCCATGTGGGCAGTCTAGCATCTTCACCACACCACTTGCTGGCCCCTAATAGTAATTTTTTTTTTTTTGAGAGGTTTTTGTTATAGGGCACATGCGCTCGCCAGACAGACAGAGACAGAGAGACAGAAAGCGAGAAATCACCCCCAGGGGGGATGGCCATGCCACAATCCCTTCTCCTCCATTCTCCTCTCGGGATCTTGGGCATACACGCACGTGCGCCCGGCGTGAGTTTTAAGCCACCTGGTCCAGGACGCTAACCGCAGTCGACTACATGGGAGTCCAGCGACATAGCCATTACGCTAACTGCTCGTCCCACCTCATAATGATTTTTTTTTTTAAAGTAAAATAGGGGCCAGCTTTATAGCACAATTGTTAAGTACTACGTGGTTGGAGCTGGATCCCTCATGATGTACTGGGTTCAAATCTTAGGCCTAGTGGCTTGATAAACAAGCTGATTGCATGTGTGTGCATGGCCAAAGTCCTGACAGGAAGGAGAGGTGGAGGAGGAGGGATGCAACATGACCATGCCCCACTGGAGAGTTTCCTCCCTTTCCTTTTCTTCTTTCTCTCTATCTCTCTTCCTTTCTGGCAAGAGCATGCACACCCTGGCGTTAAAAAAAATTTTTTTTAAATAATAAAACAAAGTGAAATTGAATAGTAGGCATCACAGAATAGGAATTTGATTTGTAGATTACATCACACAGTTATGGCATTCATGAAATCCTAAATTTATGTTAATTTCATGAAGACAATGTTTCCTCATTAAACTGTGCCTTTTTAAAATAAGAACATACTATCTCTGAACTGTTTCTGTATGTGTATCTTAAAGACTGACTTTTAGGGCTTATTTTTACCTTGTGGTTAAAATGAGAACATAGTATCGCCATACTGGTTTTTTTTTTTTTTTGTATCCTAAAGACTATCACTTTTAAGGCTCTTGTTACCTTGTGGTTAAGTCATTAAGGAACTCCAGTGCATAGACGTCCTGTTTCAAGGCTGTGTCTCAGTGCCATTTGACTTTGAAAAGCAAATCAGTTCCAGAACCGAAAGTGAAATTGGCCAGCTTTTCTTTCCATGACACTTGGAATTATGTCTATTGTGAGAGGTTCAGAATTAAAATGTAGTAGGTATTCTCTAGCATTGTTTTCTTGGGACATTTTATATTTTGCATTTTCTCTTTGTTGTACAGAGAAGGGTTGTTTCCCTCAACACTCACCACCAACCCACAGAGTTGTAAACATGTCTTGCATTGGTGGACAGTATGTTACTAATTATAAAACTAGTCAGATGTCTGTCACTTCACCTCCAGAACCTCATCTGACTGCAGGGCTTCTCTAGTTCCCAGAGACTGAGGGCTGCAGGCAAGTCCCTGTGCTCGGCGTGTCCACCCCCCCACCCACAAACCTGGGCCCTCTGCCTGCCTGTTAGAGGCTGAGATTGTCCACACCCTGGGGACTGGGAAGCAACCAGGAAGTAGTTCCTGTAGGAGTTCTCAAACTGAACCAGCATCCCTTCATTTTCCTTTTTCTGTTTCTTTCTTTCATGAGACAAAGAGAAGCACTTCAGCAAGATCTTAAAACTGTGATCCACTCCCACCCAACCAGGATCATGGGCGCACACATGCCCACATACACACACCCAGCATGTACAGGGAGACCTGGGAAGCGAACCCAGATCCTTCCCATATGATCTCAGCATCATGGAGCATCCATAATTACTGTGCTGCCACGACTGGCCCCTTTTTATTTGCGAAGATTATGTTTTTAAAATGTGTTGAAATTTTAACGATTTCTGTAACTGAAAGGCATGTAAATGTAACATATACCAGTCTAAATTTGTATCTGAAGGTTTATATGGGCTAAACTGAAAAGGAAATAAGACACATAATTGTTGCTTAGTAATACTACAATGAATAAAAATTAAAAGTCAGAATGGAAGCCAGCAGGTGGCAATGTGGTTAAGGCACTAGATTCCCACATGGCTAACTGCAGTTTAAGTCCTGGACCTGGTGGCTTGAAAAATCATGCCAGGTGCATGTGTGTGCATGCTCAAAATCCCGGTAAGAGAATAAAAGAGAAGGAATTGCAGAGTGCCATCCCCTCAGCCACTCTCCCGACACCATGGTGCGTGAGCACATGTGCCCTGTGGCAAAAACCTTAAAAGAAAGGGGAAAAAAAAAAAAAAAAGGTGGGTTTTTGTCAAGCCAGCAAGTGATGTGGTGGTTGAGGAGCTAGATCCCACATAGCCAAGTGCACAGTTCAATTCCAGGGCCCAGCAGCTTGAAAAACATGCTGGGTGGGTGTGTGTGCATGTCCAAAATCCCAAGAGAATGGAGAAAGGATTGTGGTTGTGGCCATCCCCCCCCACCCCGAGGGATAATTTCTCATTTTCTCACACGTGCACATGCGCCTTATAGGGAAAAAAAAAAAGACAAAGAAAAAATGTGCACATCAGTTTGTATAGGAGTACACGTTTAATAGTAATTCCTCCCTCCCTCTGTTGATAATATGATAAGCCAGGTTTATATCAGTAGTTATCTAATTTTTTGTGGGTACTAAAAAATTTATTACAGTAATTTCTAAATTCAGACTTAGCCTATTTGAAATCAAGATTAAGTTTCCAGTGTTCCATATAAGAATTTTACAGGCCGGCCGGTGGCGCAGTGGTTAAGGGTGCTGGACTCCCACATAGCTGAGCACGATTTGAGTCCCGGACCAGACAGCTTGCTTTCTCACTTTCCTTCTCTCTCTCCCTCATTCTGTCTCCTTCTGGTCAAATTAAAACAAACAAATAAATAACAGTTAAATAAAATAATTCTTAAATAAATTAAAAATAATTTTACAAGATAACATCCTTTTTTTTTTAATGTTTTTTTTCTTTGAGAGGTTTTTGCTATAGGGCACGTGCGCTTGCCAGACAGAGAGAGACAGATAGATAGAAAGCGAGAAATCACCCCCCGGGGGGGGATGGCCATGCCGCAATCCCTTCTCCATTCTCCTCTCGGGATCTTGGGCACGTATGCACACGCGCCCGGCGTGAGTTTTAAGCCACTGGGTCCAGGACTCGAACCATGGTCAACTACGTGGGAGTCCAGTGACATAGCCATTATGCTAACTGCTGGTCCCTAAGATAACATTCTTTTAAAGACATTCGTTTGTTAATGCAATTATTAAATGTAATTTTAAAATGGCTTTTATACTGAATTGTGGTAGCAATAAATTACAGGTTGGCCAGCACTAATCTGGAAAATCCAAAATCTCCATACTCCAAAATCCAAAAATTTCCAAGTGCTGACACTCTAAGAAAAATTAAGCACCTGACCTTGTGGGGTGTGTCCCAGTCAAAATGCTGCAGTACAGAAGACGCATCATGGGACACTTCTGGGTGTGTACTAAAGCATGAGAACGGAGCGGTGCAGATATTAGTGTGCTTTTTGTGTACCAAATTTTTGGGGAAGTTTGTGATGCCATTGTGTTTTTGTTTTTCTGGCATTGATAGAAAAATATGTAAATAGGATCTTTTGATGACAGGTTGTCCTTTATTGGTTTTGTTTCATATATGTTTGTTTGTTCACAGGTGTTGACTTTAAAATCAAAACTGTAGAGCTAAGAGGAAAGAAAATTAGATTACAGATCTGGTAAGTGGATGTCTGCAACCAGTAACATGTTGTGTGTGTTAACAATCCATACGCTCGCCTAATAAAATTAGCTGTTTGAGCTGGTTTGCCTCTTCTGCTTTTCTTCTGTCTTCATTTTAAAAAGAACAGTGCTTTCTTTAAGAGAGACTGTAGAAGAATCTACTTCTTTCATACTCTATTTGCACATGGGGAGTTGTGGAAAAAAGATTGTTACTTTAATAATAGCTACGTTGTAATCCTTATGCCTCTGTTTTCAAATCATGTGACATCTTCCCAAAAGTGTCATCACTAAAAGGCTTAGGTGCTTGCCTTTATGTAGATAAAGTTATTTGTGTGACAGTGTGGTTCTGTCTAGTTTGGCACGATTTGAAAGCAAGTCACCCACAGACAGTTTTTACAAAACTTGGTGGCACAGTGTGCCCGTGCTGTGGGCAAGCATAGCCCTCCCAGCTGTGGTGCCGGCGCCACGTACGTGAGCCCTATTCATGCCTACATGCATCCACAAGCCCTTTTCTAAAGACAGGCTCCCTTCTCAGACCGCAGTCGGAATGAGAGACTAAACCAGCTCCGCCACAGTCGTGTCTGGTGCCGAGCGCTTTCTGTTCGCTATTAACAGCGCACAGGTGGGGCATTAGGCAGTGCATGTTGCCAGCAACCTCTCCGTGGGTGAAAGGATAAGTCTGATGTGGTGGTGGTTTAAAAGTGGCCCCATTGAATTTTTCTGAGAATGCCATTTTGTTTGTAATGACACAGGTGCAGCGTACTCAGCTTACTAACTCCTCTTGGCAGGTCACCCTGAGCTCTGATTGTTTGTCCACCATGTGTGTGTTTGCTTTCATCTGCGTTAATTGCTGCTTCATCTGTGGCATCATCGGTCACCTAATGCTTGAATGTTAGTGCCATGTCTTCATTCTTCATCTGTGTCCCTGTCTGGGGCACAGCTGCGGCCGAGCCAGCATTGCTTGCCTCCTGGAGGTATCCGAGGTAATATCTTCATTTAGTCATCTCTGACTGTATGACTTGCTTTAAAAAATTTTTGGTCTGGGTTTTTGTTTAGTTTGTGTTTTTGTTTTCATATTTTTCACCTTGGCTTAATGTGAATCATTAACAGTCTTGTCTAAATACTTAAATAACAAAAAATAGGCATTTCTTATACTAGCCCATGAACGAAACAGCACACTCTGTCTTGCATGTTGCTGCCCATTGTTTTAAACTCTGGAAAGGGCACCAAAGTATCTCGCACACAAGTTGCTGCTGCTTACTATAAGGTCTTTATGGTAAAAACAAACAAACAACCTCTATGAAAGGATTTACATATGTCATCCCTGAACCTGTGGGTGCAGAGAGAGACTTACGGTGAGGTACTTTTCAGTGAAGAGATTGCCTCACCCAGGGGAGTATAGCTGATGTTAGAAACGGTGTGAAGCTGGCTTGAGTGGGCGGCAGCCATACCTGGCGACTGTCTAAAAAACAACCAAACAAAAATCTCTTAATTTCATGTATTAATACTTAGGGTTTCATCTCTGGCAGTCGTAATCTGATTTATGAAAGTATGTCCAAATGTCCTGGTGCCTCTCTGGAACTCTGCCCACTAAGACTGTGCTAGTGACATTAGATACTTCTGGAATCTAACTAAAATGCCTTTGAACCTGATCTGAGAGGGCCCTGTCTTACGGAATTCCACTCTGCAGACAGAAGTGTAATGGTGTGGTTCCAGAAAGTGCTTAGGGCACCTCGAAACCACTTTTCTTATGGTTGTATAAGCGTTCTCCAAAAGTAACTCCTCCCTGCTCTCCCTTGACTCTTCACTCCCTTGTCTGCGTTCTGTAAGTTTTCACATTGTACAGCATTGACAAGGAATATAACCAAGGGGGTAAGTGAGAGGCCTGTGGGATTTATCAAAAGGTTGACTGCAAGATTTCTTCATGGGCTATTCCAGTGATTCAGTTAGGAAGTAGGACCTAGCTTTTCCTAGTAGGAACTATTCAGCTGTGAATCATATATTCACAGTATGCCAGCTTCAGTGCTCATCACTTAATACTCAAAGTGAGACTTCTAGCTTCTGAAATATTTTATTTAAAAGATGAAAACCCTTTGTTCATTTGTTCAGTTGCTATCCGGTAGGTAAAAGGAAGGGCTGGAATCACAGTTCTCATTCTTACTATGCATTTAACGTAATGCAGGGCTTGTGCTGGAGCTAAGAGCAGCCCTGTGGTGTTGCCGTTGCAGTCTGCTTTGTTGTGGGGATATTGTCGTTGCTCACCGTCAGCAGTGGAGGGCCAGCATCATTGGAAACAGCTCTGCAGGGAGACTCGGTGGGCAGTGCTGTGCTAATTGGTAGTAGCTGCACTGTGATTTTCTAGACTGTGTCCATGTAAGCATTGCTATTTGGTTTTCACAGAGTGGTCTCATTAGGACAGAAATTTTTTTTTTTCTTTGACAATTTCTGGATATAGTCAGTCTAAGAAAATACTTTTTACCATAAGTTCCTGAAAGTTTAGAACCGAAAGCTGCAGATGTGTTTGTCACAGTTTATGTTCTTACCCATTTTTCAGGTCCTCAAGTATCTGTGGTCAGAAAAAGAACCATTTTTCTTTGTATTTTAAGTATTTCTGCTTGAGTATACATAAGAATTTTATATAAATGTAGCTAAAATAAAACATGTTGGCCAGCGTATAGTTTCATCAGTTATATCCAAATATTATCCTGGGAATTACGCACTTTGAACTTGGAGATAGTGTGTCAAAAAGGAATTGAAGCCATGAAATTTGTCTCCGATCTTTAGGCAAACAGAATTAAAGTGCTTTCTGTAGGGGACCCTTCGTTCTGTCCATTGGACAGATCTGCACTGTTGGGGAATTGTGTCTGAACTAGCTTTCTTAACGTTGGCATCAGGCTCCTTTCCTGTTGTTCTCTGCTTGGAAGAGCTAGAGCATTTTAACACTGAAATTGGTCCTGCCCTACAAATTAGTAACAGCATTATTTAAATGAACATATTAAATATAACAGATAAGAATCTTTCAATTGTGCTTTTTTTTTTTTTGGAGAGGTTTTTGCCATAGGGCACATGCGGTCGCCAGACAGAGAGAGACAGAGAGGCAGAAAGCAAGAAATCACCCCAGGGGGGATGGCCACGCCGCAGTCCCTTCTCCTCCGTTCTCTCAGGATCTTGGGCACACACGCACATGCACCCAGTGTGAGTTTTAAGCCACCGGGTCTGAGACTCGAACCACGGTTGACTACATGGGAGTCCAGTGACATAGCCATTACGCTAACTGCTGGTCCCTCGATTGTGCTTTTGAGAGAAATGGAAAATAAAACCTTTTTCAACCTGAGTATTTTGGAAATATAGTGATCTTTTTTTTTTTTTTTTGTTTTTGCTATAGGGCACGTGCACTCGCCAGAAAGACAGAGAGAGACAGAAAGGGAGAAATCACCCCCCAGGGAGGATGGCCATGCCGCAGTCTCTTCTTTACTCTCCTCTCGGGATCTCAGGCATGCACGCACATGCGCCTGGCATGAGTTTAAGCCACCGGGTCCAGGACTTGGATCGCAGTTGACTACATGGGAATCCAGCAACATAGCTATTATGCCAACTGCTGGTCCCGGAAATATAGTGGTCTTTCAAAGGACCATGCTTTCCTGCCACAAGCCATCTAGAGCCAGGCACAAAAAGACAGAATTTAAGGAGTTGTTTTAAATGAGTGATAAACTATTAATAGTTGATGTTTTCTCCTTGCGATTTTTGGAAACTAAACTTTTTGTGCTTTTCTTTGTGTTTGAATGATTGCCTCAGGTTTTGCATTTTTAGGGTTCTTTCATCTTTTGTGTAAGTGTTTTTGCTACAGGGCGGGCGTGCTCACCAAAGACGGAAGTGAGGGTGAGATTGCGGCCCCCCCAAGGTAGATGGCCACACCACAATCCCTCTCCTTCATTCTCTTCTAGAGACTTTGGGTACACGCACATGCACACATGCCCAGTGTTTTTTTCCAGGCCATTGGGTCCTGGACTCAAAACTGCCCAGTCAACCTTGTGAGAGCCTGCTGCCTTAACCCCCACACCACTGGCTAGCCCACAGGTTTCTGTCATCTGTATGTCTGACTTAAAGCCAGCAAAGACAAAATTCCTTTTTTCCAGTTTGTGATAGGGTGCATGCATTTGCCAGAGAGAGACAGAGGGAGAGGAGAGAAATGAGTTGTCACATTCCAGGACTGGGGGGGGGGGGGACCATGTTGCAATCCCTTCTCCTTCCAGGGTTTTGGGCACACATGAACATGTGTCTGGCATGATTTTCAAGCTGCCAGGTCCAGGACTTGAACCGCTATCAGCCATATGGAAGTCCAGAACCTTAACCACCATGCCACCTGTTGGACCCAGACTACTACTTTTTTTCTTTTTTGAAAAAAGGGATATTTATTTAATTTCATTTATTATTATCATTTTTTAATTTACCGAAGGGTATGTGCACTTGTCAGAGAAAGAGACAGAGACAGAGGGAGAAAGTAAGTTGCTAGGTCCAGGGCTTGAACCTCAGTCAGCCACATGAGAGTCCACCACCTCAACCACCATGCCACCTGCTGATCCCCTACTAACTTTTTTTTTTAGAGATTTTTGCTATAGGGTGTATGTACTCTCTAGAGAGACAGAGAGAAACAGAGATAGTGAGAAATCATCCCCCAGGGGGAATAGCCACACTGCAGTCCCTTCTCATTCTCCTCTCTGGATTTTGGGCACGCACACACGCACATGTGCCTGGCCTGAGTGCTAAGTCACCGGGTCAAGGATTCGAACCATAATTAACTACATGGGAGTCCAGCAATGTAAACATTATGCCATCTGCTGGTGCCACAACTAACTTCTCAATGACAAATTTTTTAATGTTTCAAAGATCCTTAAGTGTGCTGTTTAGGTGACTTTATTTAATTATTCCCTATCTCTATTCTTTGTTAAATTTTGATTAAAATTTCAAATATTTCTAATTTTTGCTTTTTAGTCCCCAGTTTCTGGATTCTAAATTTGTTGAATGTGAATCAAAATGAATGCAAACTGATTTACTCTAAAAGCCAGATTAAAATTGCTTAATCTTTGGGGACCAGCAGATGACGAAATAGTCTGAGTCCCAGACCTGGTGGCTTAAAAAACTCACACTGGGCACGTGTGTGTGCATGCCCAAGATCCAGAGAGGAGAATGGAGACAGGATTGTGGCATGGCCATCCCCCCTGAGGGCAGGGCGGGGTGATTTCTTGTTTTCTGTCTGTCTCTCTGGCGAGCACACACACCCTGTAGCAAAAAAATCTCTTAAAAAAATTTTGCTTAATCTTCAAAGATTTCTTAAAGAATGTATTTTGCAAAATGTTTGATGAAGATCTACCCAATTGCTATTTAAATTTGTAATTCAGCTAAATAGTACTAACCTCAGGTTTCAGAGTAGAAAAAATGCATTACTTTTGTTTTTTTGAAGAAATAGAAACTTGGGGCCAGCAGGTGGCGTCGTGGTTAAGGAAAGAAATAGAAACTTGGGGCCAGCAGGTGGTGTCGTGGTTAAGGCACTGGACACTCCATATGGCTAATCACAGTTTGAGTCCGGGACCTAGTGGCTTGCTTTCTCGCTTTCTCTCTCTCTCTCTCTCTCTCTCTCTCTCTCTCCCCAAATTTAAATGAATGAATGAATGAGTAGTAAAAATAAATTTAAAAATATTTTCAAAAAAGAAATAGAAACTAAAACAGTACAGAATTTTTTAAAAATTTGATCAATTCCTAATTTAGACAAGCCATAACTTGTGATAGGATGGCAGACCATGCTCTGAAAGATTTAACTCATTATTGGTTTCAAAGTATTAATATATCCCTAAATGCCTAGCATTAGAGAAATAATAATAGTCATTGATCTGTTGTGTAAATGAAATAGTATCTAGTTTATTTCTTCTCACTCATCTTAAGAGAGTCTGTTGTGGGACCAGCAGTTAGCATAATGGCTATGTTGCTGGACTCCCACATAGTCAACCGCAGTTCGCGTCCCAGACCTGGTGGCTTAAGACTCATGCCGGGCACGTGTGCGTACATGCCCAAGATCCCAAGAGGAGAATGGAGGAGAAGGGATTGCGGTGTGGCCTTACCCCCTGAGGGGTGATTTCTCGCCTTCTATCTCTCCGTCTGTTATCTGGCGAGCGCACGCCCCCTAAAGCAAACCTCCCCCCCCCAAAAAAAAAGAAAAGAAATTAAAAAAGAAGAAGAAATATATATATTTAAAAAAAAGAGTATTGTGTATGGTCTTTCGGTCATTTTTAGAAATCCTAAAGAATTTGGTCTCCATGTATTATGTCCTTCAGTTTTCCAAATGTTGTTGTTGTTGTTGTTGCAATTTTGGTTCCAAATTAAATTTATTTTGCCTTGTAAACTTTCTGCGTTTTAAGCATGTAACTTTTGGTTCAATGCCCAGGCCAGGCACTCTGGTGGACAAAAGCAGACCAGCCCTGCCACCTGGGCCTTCCCAGTCAGAGCAGTTGAGGATTCTTACATCCTCTGGGAAAAGAAGCAAATAATGGCTTTGCGTTGTGCGGAAATGAATTTTCTTAGGAGCTTTTCTGTTTGTTTGATGCAATAAGGCATCACTAATGTAAACTAATTAGGTGTTGAATATAGTCTGAAAGAAGCCATAAATTATATCAGCTGTTGCCGTGGGGAGTTTTGAGTGAGGTGTTCTTTGATGAAGGACATTTGGGAAAGGTTGCAGGCTGTCTCCTTTCAGAAACTCACCTGCTCTGGGTGAACAACGTGGAATGACCTTGCACTCAAGAGTCTTGCTTATTATTTGTTTACGCCCTTGCCCCAAACCACCTGTGTCATGTGGCACCTGGGAACATACCAGTTAGGGTTCACTGGGAAAAGCTAAATTATAGATACCATTTAAGTAAATTGGCTTCCTTGTGAGTCCTTCCTGATCGGATGTCTTCTCTGACAAACCACGTTGGAGAATACGTGGTGGTTCTCAAGCAGTTTCTTGGCTTATCATATGGAGGAATAGGTCTCAGCCAGCTTCTGTGCGCTGTTCACATGCACATTGTTCTTCACGTTCCAGCGGCCGGCCGGTGTCTGCTGGGAGAAGGAAAAAAGTTTTTAGATTTCAAATCAGCAGTCAGGGAATAATGAACTGTAAAGTATTAGCAAACCTATGTGGTAACTCACCTCCTTTTTACTTTGGCCTCTTACTCTATTTCGGATTAAGAAGATAACAACTCGGTCTGTAGCACTTCGATTCATGGGGAACTTTCAGTTGTCTTATCAGCAGAATCAGATGTTAACCATCCGTGTTGGTTAAAAGAGAATTGTGGACCTAAAGAGCTTGTTGTTTTCTCTGTCTTTTCTCACTGTTGGTAACTGCCACTATACTATAGAGGGTGTTATAACTTCCACCATTTCCCAGATGAGGAAACTCAGCTCAATTCAAAAATGTTGAGTTCTCCGAAGTAGCCAAATCCTGGAGCCGAGAACAGTGCCAGGCGCCCTGGGACTCCCTGCGCTTCTCTTTCCAGTGCGCTGCGCCGGCCCGTCTGCTGGCAGCAGAGCAACCGAAATGGCCGTCACCCACCTCGAAGATTGAGCCAGAGCTTTTGAGGAAATAGCACCATATACCTGTTACTAAACCAGTCTGTAGAAGCAGAATACCCAGAAAAACTTACCTGAGCATAGTACATTCTGACTGAAAATAAATCAGCTTAATTTCAGCTCACTACCTCATTCTTATGTGTCTTTGCTACTCCTCATTTTCCTTTCCTGTCTGCTTCCCTCAGAGTATGAGAGATTGGAGACAACCTTTCAGAACCAAGTTGATGGTTTTGTAAATAGGAATATAAGATCATTTAATATTATCTTAAATTCTTATGTTAGAATATCGAAAATTTCATTATGAACCTAATATTAGCTTATAGTAGCCCTTTAGGAGTTAAGAAACAAAAATTGCTTTCACAGTTTATTATTTCTGCCCAAAAGTTCACTTTAGGAAGACAATTTAATTTGGAAAATAAAAGATTTTGCTACATACAGGATCTTAGCACCTTTATTTAAATTTTGGGGTCCACCCTCTACCCCTTGTCATTATGATTATAAATTTTTTTGTCTTATAAATTCTCATTTTCCTATTTTCAAAATCTTGGTTTTAAAGCAATTGGGACTTTACAGTTTTGTTTATAACTAGCTCAGAAAAGCAAGCACAGCTGATGGCGCTGTGTTCACTGGTGGTACAGACCTGAGGAGTGCCCTGGTAACCAGCAGGGATCGCCCGCTGCGGGGACACTTGGTCTCCGTGGCATAGGATGCAGCCGGTGTTCCCAGAAGCTGGCCCTCTTTTGTCCGTAGATGGCTGCTTCTGACTTTAGACCATGTCTGCTACGATCGCAACTGGGAATCTTTCTTACCTTTCCTCCCGTGAGGTGGTACCCCAGCCCCCTCACCCTTAACCCTCGCACTGGGGGCCAGTGAGTGACACATCCCTGTTGATTTGGAGGGCATTTCTGCTCTTCAGTCTTAGGAGACCTGCCGCTTACTGTGTGCAGTTCCGGGTGGCTGTGCGCATGCGTGTGTATAAAGTTGGTACTCCCTGTGCATCATCACTGCTTTCAGGAACATTTATAATGTTTTGAAAATCACCTATGATGTGAAGTGTAAATACTATATTTTTTAAGTTTTTGTTTGTTTGTTTTTTAATTGCTAAAGGGCACGTACACTCCAGAGAGAGAGAGAGAGGGAGAGAGAGAAGCATCCCACAGTAGGACATGGTCATGCTGCAATCCCTTTTCCTTCATTTCTTCATCTTGTCAGGTTTGGGGCACACACAGACATGTGCCCTGCATGTTTTTTTCAAGTCACCAGAACCAGGATTTGAAGTGCAGTCAGCCCTGTGGGATCCACCTCCCTTAACCACTAGGATATGGGGCCAGCTCTATAAATACAGAATTTTAACATTTTTTCTTCCTGTTTTATTTTGGAAAAGCATGTCATATATTTTGATGTTATATCAGCATTCTTATTGCTGACTTTCTGTCTTTTAAGAGAAAAATTAGTTTGGATAGTTTTGATCGAGTTCATAATCCAACTTTATGCACTCTATTGAGTTGTTAGCTCATAAACAAGGATAACTCAAATCTCATATCATATAGTCAACCTGACTTTTCTCTGTTCTCTAACTGTAGAGATGAATTAAATTTCAGATGAATTTCAAAAAATATATGTGTATATATGCACACTACTCTAGTTCCCTGGTAGTAGAAAAACAGAAGCCTGCTGTATGCTTGCACAGGAATGTAGAGCTGCTTACTCGGGTTATCGTTTGGGAACTGAGTTTTGCTGCTCTTCCTTAGGGACACTGCAGGTCAGGAGCTAAAAAAAAGCATTACCTCAGCTTATTACAGAAGTGCCAAGGGAATCATATTAGTATACGATATCACTAAGAAGGAGACATTCGATGATTTGCCAAAATGGATGAAGATGATTGATAAGGTAAGAGTTGCATTTTTCTATCAGACGTGAACTTTCTACTAAGTGTTAATCTTAAAAAGAGAATGCGGAAACCCATTTATTGAGCATGCTTTTATAGACTGGACATCATTTAACCCATATTATTGGTCATCAGAAAAGTTTTGATGTATTTTTCTGGTTTTCTATGCAAAAATGCATCATAACTTTTCCAGTGACCCAATACAACCTTCATGGTGGGTATATGGTCTTGTGTTACGGGTGAGGCAAAGAAAAATTAAATTTATCCACATTCAACTTATAAATAATAAACCAGGATTTTTATTCTGGGATCCTGGACTGTCAGACTTTCAGAGTTCATCGTACTCACTGTATGTCCATCTCCTATGGACTAGGTACAGAACATTCTTGTTCTGCCGAAAGGTTCACTTGCATGCTTAGTGTTTGAACAGCCACTGAGTAACAGCATCAAGAAGGTAGTCCTCTCCATGCTGCCTATGGGCAGTCCAAGGGCCTCAGTACCCACTGGACATCTGCCCTTATTGTAGCTGTCCTGTACCTTGCCCTTGTGAACAAGAGATTTTCTTCTATGGCTCATGCTTGAATATATACAGATAACCTGTATCTATAGGATTAATGTAAGGTATGGTCTCTTCCTCTAAGAGAGATGAACTTCTCTTTTCAAAAAGACACACAGGGATGTCTTTGGCGTAATGGTTGCGCCGCTGGACTCCCACAGACCCAACTGTGATTTGCGTCTGACCTGGCAGCCTAGTGTGCCCAAAGTCCCAAGAAGAGATTGGAGAAGAAGGGATTGTGGCATGGCCATCCCCAGAGAGAGATTTCTTTTTTTCTGTCTCTCAGGCAAGCACATGCATTCTATAGCAAAATTCTCTTTTTTTTTTTCTTTTTTCTTTTTCTTTTTTTTTTTTTTAAAGGTAAGCAGAAGGTAGAGCAATGGACTGAGATGTAAGGGTATGCAGTTAACCACATTTGGGGCATTTTCTCCTTATCCTTTGCATTTGCTTAGTTCCTTTAGTACACCTAATATAAATGGATTTTATCTGTAGTTTATGTACACCCATCTGTTAGAGAATGTTCTGAAATGTTCACTTACCTGTTTTACCAAGCATGTTATCAGTGCACACTTCTCTAGAGTGTGTCAGGGTCTAGGATTACAAAGGTGAATCAGACTTGAGTCAGGTCCTACCGGCAGTGTACTCTGCTTTGTCGACCACGTGGGAGTCTGGCGCTTTAACCACCACGCCCCATTTTTTTTCCTTATGACTGCTCTTTTTGTGTGTATCTTGTTTTATTCATTCATTTTATAGAACCTGCAGGGTTGTTTCATTTTGTTTTGTTCCATGGTAGCCTCTCAGGCCATCTGAAGGACAGGTCATGTCCTGCCTGGGCCTCGCAGACTCAGCAGAGATGGTGGAAGGGAATGAACAAACAAGTCAATACGTGAAAAATCCTGTGTCTGTTTGCATTTCTATGTCAGCATATGACAGTGCCCATCTGTGAAACGCAGCTCTTTTTTTTTTTTTTTTTTTTTTTTTTTACAATTCCACAGTATGCTTCAGAAGACGCAGAGCTCCTTTTAGTTGGAAATAAGTTGGACTGTGAAACGGACAGAGAGATCACCAGACAGCAAGGGGAAAAGGTGAGAGCGCATGGAGCCCAGAGAGGGCACAGTTCCTGCACCTCGCAGTTTACGTGCTTTTTCTTCTGATCAGTTCTCTATTATTTTAAACTATGAAATAATTATCAGTACAGTGGTCATTCAGTCACATCCCTGTGTGGTTGCGTTGTTTGACTTCCTGTAGTTTTAAATCGGAGGGGAAGAAACACATTAGCTGTGGCCTGCATTATTGTCTAACCTGATGTTTTACACCAAGAAACCTTTTCTGAGTTATAAAATTGCTTTCATGATTTTCTCTTACTCTGGTGTATTTTAAGCTTCCTTGGTTTTTGCTAAGGAGTCAGTCATGGAAAAAGTATGATATTCACATTTTAAATGTCAGCTATGTTACACTTTCTGAAACTGAGGCCGATAATTTGACTTAAAGGTCCTAATAGCATTCTAGGGATTTTGTTGTGTTTTATTATTTACTTAAAATGGAAGAACTTGCTGCACTTGTGAGTTTTTTATTTGAGTGCAAATGAGACTTCAAATCTCTAGTCTCATCACTTCCCTTGTCGCTGAAGCCCCCCTCAGAAACCAGGCCCATGCTTGTCCATTGGTCTGTGTCGGACCCCACACAGAGAAAGCAGAGATGTCTCTTTTCTTAGTTTGCACAGCAGATAACTGGGATGCGGTTCTGTGAAGCAAGTGCCAAGGACAACTTCAATGTGGATGAGATATTTCTGAAACTCGTCGATGACATTCTGAAAAAGGTAACCAAAGAAAGAGTCTACATTGGGAAAATATTTCATCTACACCCTTTGTTTCTTCTACTTTTTGTTGAGAATTTTTTATTTGGAAATGAAACAAATCATGCTTAGGCTTGAGAACCAGGCTTACTTGAAATGTTGTCTGAAGGCTCCCAGCTTGCTGTCACACCATTTTTTCCCCATCCAGCTGGTTTTGGTGTCCTCGGGGTTGATGCACAACGTACCCACTCAGCCGTGGAGGGTGGGGTAACTGAAACAAGATGTAACAATGTGTCATGTCTATTTGATATTTGCGCTTCCCTCTTCCCATTTTCCCAAGGGCCTTAAGTTTGATAGCGTCAGTGGAGACATAAAGTACACCATATCTCAGCCGAGAGCAGAGCTCAGGACCCTCCTTCTCTCAGTACCCTTCCTGGTGTGAACCTCCTTTACAGAGCCTTTTCCAGGGTGCTGTGTTGCAGAGAGATTGCTAGAGTGTTAGTCAGCTGCCGTGGTTTCTTCAGGCATCTTTAGGCTTACATGCAAAGAGTTTTAGTGAGAATTTAAGTCTGTTTGTGTTTGTTGTTTTTTGTTTGTTTGTTTTGTTTTGTTTTGGTTTGGTTTGGTTTGGTTTGGTTTTTTTTTAGAGAGATTTTTGCTATAGGACACCTGTACTCACTGGGGAGAGAGAGAGAGAAAGGAGTCATCCCCCAGGGGGGGGATGGGGGAGGGTGGCCACACTGCAGTCCCTTCTCCATTCTCTTCTTGGGGCCCAGCATGAGTTTCAAGCCACCAGATTCGGGACTCGATCTGCGGTCAGCCATTTGGGAGTCCAGCGACATAACCATTATGCCATCTGCTGGTCCCTACTTGTATTATTACTAAGTATCATTCAGTTCAGACCTGACTCATAAGCTTCTAATAAAGTGGTTGCTGATATAATTGCTAAAAGAGGTTATTTCTTTCTTTACTAAAGATATATAACTCTGGAATGCAGACAAATGTTTTCTTTATTAATGTGTTAGATTTTTATTGTACTATGTTTTATGAAAAGAAATGTTTATAAGGTTAGTCTGTTCTCTTCTACCATAGGTATAGTTAATAAGTATGGTGGGCAGTGTTTGTATTGTGTGTAAAGTGCCCTGGACAAGGATTTTTTTGTATTTGGGTTTTTATGGGGGATTTTATTTTGACTTAATATTTTAATGTCTTACTAACCTTTGATGATCAGAGAGCTTTATGTAACAAAGTTTGTTTTTTTCTGTGATTGTGCGATTGGCTGAACGTTTACAGGTACCTTGAAAAGTTAACAAGTATGTGTTTTTTCTCTTTATCTTTTAGATGCCTCTGGATATTTTAAGGAATGAGTTATCCAATAGTATCCTCTCCTTACAACCAGAGCCTGAGATCCCACCAGAACTGCCTCCACCAAGACCACATGTCCGATGCTGTTGATTTGCTACTTTGGAGACAAAGTGGAAACAATTCCTGGAAAGGGAAGGAAAAAAAAAAAAAAAACATTCTATTCTGCACTACAATCATTTCGACAATTTCCTTTCGCACTTTGTAATCCAAGTCAGAGCTATACACTAACTTGTAAATATGCAAATATGCAATCCTGGGTAAGTTTTGGTTATCAGTTACATATTTCCCTCCAAATGATTATATTTCATTCATTACTCCAGTGTCTAGTATACATACACTGGGAAACATAGTACTTCTAATATGAAGAATAGGTGAAATGAAAGGTATAATGTTTCTTGAGATAAATAATATAATTGTCCTTGTTAATTATATTATGAGGACAAAAGATATTCTGATAAGAAAAGAGAACGTGGTGCTTTGCTTATTGTTTTAAAGAAAATTTGTAAACTGAAGACTTTTTGAAAAAATAAAAGCTATCTTAAGTGCTTTTTCTTTATTTAGAAGACATTTCCCCCAGCTGTTGCATCTTTGGAGTATTGGCGTGTTTCTACCACAAAGCAAAGCTTCATTATAGCCGTCACTGAAGGTTATTTATTAATGATATGTAATGGTAAGATATTACTAGGTAGAGGGTTGGAGTTGACTTGGTCTTAAGGCTGCAGAATCTCTCTCGTGGTATCCTAATGGCCAGACCCTACACTTTTAAGAACCACAGAGATGCAGTAAAGAAAGAAGTGTTTTCAAAACTATGGAGAAAAATTTTAAACCTCGCTGCTGTCCTACACAAATCCTGTTTAAAGGAATTTTAAAGAGATACATTTTACTATATCAAAGAACATACATGTATTTGCCTAAACATTCTGTACCTTTGTAATGATAAAACTTCTCCCCTTTATTATGGTGAAGCTTATTCCTATTAAGCCTAGATGTGTTCTTTTTTTTTTTTTTTCCTTTTTCTTCTTTTTTTTTTTGTCTGATAATGAATTTGTGAATTCTATCTTTGGTATATCTTTTATTAAACTGCACTGTTTTGTTTAGTCAAGGTAAATAAGTAATTATGTATTTGAATAACTTGGTGTGTCCTGAGTGTTGTGATATGAAAAGCATTGTGGTCTTTCTACACTAATGAAGTGCAAATAAAATTTTGTATTTATGAATGACAGTTGAGTTGCCACATTTATCTATGCAACTATAAATCGATCGCATATGTGACAGTCTTAATAAACTCCACATCTTAGTCTTTGGAGTGTTTTAGATAGGAAGAATATAGTGTCTTCTACTGAAAAACAATTTGGCTGTTCCTTGAAGGGTTAAATATAAAAATACTCTTTGATCCAGTGATTCAACTTTTGGGTAAATACAAAGGAAAAAAAAAAAAATGGAAAGCAGATACCAAAGCAGGTACTTATACTCCTGTTGATAGTATCAGTCACAAAAGCCAAAAGGTAGAAACAACCCTTGTGTCCCTCAACAGAATAATGGATAAACAAAATGTGGTTTTACAAATAATGGAGTATTGGTCAACCTTAAAAGGGAGAGAAATCCTGTCTTGTGTTACAGTGTGGAAGAACCTTGAAGACATGCTAAAGGAAGAGAGCCAGGCCAGTCAAAATGGACAAAAGCTATGATTCCACATACATGAGGTATATCGAGTAGTCACATTCATAGACAGAAAATAGAACGGTGGTTGCCAGGGGCTGGGGAGCAGGAGGGGTAGGGAGTTGGTATGTAGAGGGCACAGAATTTCATTTGGATAAGGTGAAAAGTTCTGGAGATGGATTGTGATGGGAGCACAACAGTGTGAATGTACTTCAATACTACACTTTAAAATGGGGTGTGTGTGTAATGTCTCAAGAAAAGATTTCTTTCACATACACATCTTTATTATTTATATATATATTTTTTGAGGGGTCTTTGCTATAGGGTGCATGCACTCCAGAAAGACACAGAGAGACAGAAAGCAAGAAATCACCCCCCAGGGATTCCCTTCTCCTCCATTCTCCTCTTAGGATCTTGGGCATGCACTCACATGCACCCAGGGTGAGTTTAGCCACCAGGTCCGGGACTCAAACCATTGTCTCCTACATGGGAGTGCAGCGACATAGCCATTACACCAACTGCTGGTCCCCATGCACACCTTTATTAGGAATAGTGATCATTGTGCCTGTCACCTACCATCTTATCTCCAAACCTATCCTTCTGTGTTCTGCCCTGTGACTCAGGGGCTGACACCATGCCAAACACCCCTTGCTCTTCCTGTTAAAATATGCTGGTGGGAGAAACTCAGAACTTGGGAGAAAGGGAAAAAGGGACCTGTCATTTTACCACCGATATTAGCCCCCACCTGCAGTAGCAGCGACCATCAGTTCTAACCTAGCTTCTTCTTGGACCCCTGCTCCAGCCTCGCTGCACCCATCTGACCGCCAGTGGTATGTCAGCATCCTGTGTGCTGGGTCATCAGCACCTGCCAGGCTGGCTGTGTCCCCACTGGATCCAGCCCCCTCAGTCTGACGCCCTCCCTAGGCGTGTGGACCCAGTCTGCAGTGTTCCTTCCTCTGAGCTCCAGGTGAGGCAGCACCCCTGTCTTGTCATCCAGCCTTAGTGGGAGAAGCTGCCTTCAGGTATTGACTGCTGAGTCCCTGTACCATTCATTCCTTTTTTGTTGGTTTAGCATCTTAACAACTATGTAGCCTACTTCCCTGTATCAACCCTCCTGCTTAAAACTGCCTCATTCGTGTATTTCTTCCTGACTATAGGGTACTTGGTATCTGGAGTCATCTTAGGGAACAGATCCTCAGAAATGAGTTTAAGGAAAAATAGTTTGATTTGTCCTGGGCATCGTGACTCATTCAGCAATGTGTGGTCTGTTCGTATGCTTCTAACTTTGTCTCGGTGCCAGCATATGTGTCTGTCAACTGTTCTAACAGACGTACCATACTCGTTTAGTAGGATGTTTGAGCGTTGAAGGTGGGACTTTGCCAGAAAAGTTTAATGTGGTTTAGAGCTCCTGAGTTTGGTTTCCCATGTGTTCCTGGGGCTTCCCGGGGTGTTCTTTTCTCCAATGACAACAGGTTTATGAGAACGAAACTAGACTTTTGAGTTTTCTATACTATTATCCATCACAACATTTTTTAAAGAGGTTATTCACCTTAGGCAGAGAGACAGAGACAGTGAGAGGGAAATTGAGAAATCATCCCCCCAGAGGGGATGACCATGAATGGACCCTTCTCCATTCGCCTCTTGAAATCTTGGGCATGCTCCTGGCTTAACTTCAAGCCATCGGGTCCAAGACTCGAACCATGGTCATCCATGTGGAAGTTCAGTGACATAACCACTATGCCATCTGCTGCCCCCTTCACAGCTTTTTAGGTTTATCTATTTTGCCAGTGATTCCAATGACTAATGTTAGTGACCTGACCTGCCCTTCAGATGGTCTGACAGGCTACCATGTGATAGTGAAAACTCAGTTTAGTCTCTTGATTCTTGTTTTTATTTTTATTTATTTATTTATTTATTTTTGAGAGGTTTTTGCTATAGGGCGCATGTGCTCGCCAGACAGAGAGAGAGACAGAGATAGAAAGCTAGAAATCACCCCCCAGGGGGGATGGCCACACCGCAAGCCCTTCTCCTCCATTCTCCTCTCGGGATCCTGGGCATGCACGCACACACGCCCAGCATGAGTTAAAGCCACTGGGTCCGGGACTCGAACCACGGTCTACAGCGTGGGAGACCAGCAACATAGCTATTATGCTAACTGCTGGTCCCAGTCTCTTGATTCTTAAAGGACACTGCTGTTTCAAAAAGTAATTGTGGGCTGGCCCTATGGCTCAGTATTAAGGGAGCTGGGTCTCACATGGCTGCCCACAGTTCGAATCCCAGCCTTGACAGCTTGAAAAACATGCCAGACACATGAGCATGTGTGCCCAGAATCTCAATGAGATGCAGAGTTGGAGGAGAAGAGATTGCAGACTGACCATGCCCATTATGGGGTGTTGTTCCCTCTCCCTCGCTCTGGAAATTGCACATATCCTCTGGCAGTTTAAAAACAATTGCAAATTTTATGTTTTGGGGTATTTTTTTTTTAAAGTTTATTTCTTTCATGAGAGACAGGGAGGGAGAAAAAGAGTCACCCCCAATGGGGTCCTTATGCCACGATCCACCACCAGCCTCAGCCAGCCAGGAGTATGGGCACATTCACGTCCTGGGAGACTTCTGGATGTGACCCCAGGGCCTTCCTATGTGGCCTCAGCATTGCAGAGTGCTGTTACCGCTGCATCACCAAGCCAGGCCAATATTTTATACTTTTATAGCTCATTGTCCTAGATTAGTATCTCATTTGATTCTCATGCAAACTTCTAAATAAGTAGAGCCAAATTTAAATTGAATTTTTAGTCATCCATGCAGATGGAGAGAAACCGTAATCCAAGAAAGTAGAAATGAAAGTCACCTAAGACCACAAGACCTGGAGATGGTGCTGTGGCCACGAACTTGCATCCCTAGCTTTGGAACCAGATAGAAAATCCAGCTAGGGTCGAGCTGCTTGGTGGAGGATTAGCTTCTTGGAAAGATGCAGGGAAACAAGGTTTATTCTCAATGCACTAATCTCCATCCCTTCATCTTCTCCCTCTGATCTTCGAAGTACTCCTGCAAGTTAGCAGACAAGTATGTTTAATTGCTTGAAGGTTTGGAAATGTGAGGGGTGGATGTTACTTGGTGACACAAGACGAGATTAGTCTCCCTTGTCTCTAGTTATTAAAACAAACTATTTAAACTAGTTGTCTTTTGCCTTTTTTGTTTTCATGAGTGACTTACACTACCAAGGAAAGAAAAGGTACTCTAATTCTATAGATTATTTTTTTTGGTTAGTTTGTGAGGAGGCCCACAAACTTAGTCAAGAGTGGGTCAGGGACCAGTCCCATGACCTAGTAGTTAAAGGGAGCTGGATCCCTGGATCCCACATGGCCAGCGAAAGTTCGAACCTCAGCCCTGGTGACTTGAAAAACACAAGGCACATGTGCATGTGGGCTCCAAATCCCAACCAGATAGAGAGGTGAAGGCATCGTGTTGTGACCATGCGCCATCACAGGGTGCTTTCTCCCCTCCTGTCTGTTTTTCTGGTAAATGCACACGCACTCTGGCAAAGAGAGAGTGCGTCAGGACAAGATGTCCAGGCCGTTGTCTGCATTGGACCGCGGTAGCCTGCAGAGTTGAAATTGGTCACTCAGTTGCTTTGCAGACACCGTGCTGAGCTTGGGTGCTCTGGGAGTGGGAATTGAGAAATACCACAACTCCTAAGGAGGTCATCTAATACAAGGGACAGACAGATTCATAACTGGAATATAAGGCAGAGCTTCTATTATTCGTGGACAGATACACTGTCCAGGGGAAGCACAGAGGGAGGAGTCAGGGTTGGTGGAGACCAGGGGAGTAGACTACCAACTGGCGCCAGGCAGACACGAGGAATAATGTATTGAAAATAGTGTATGTTAATTGGGGCCCGGAGGGTAGTACAGTGGTGAGACACAGCACTCTGGAGGGTGACCCACTTTACAGGGTTCCAGGTTGGTGTCCAGACGCCTTCCTGAGTATGCCAGGCACGTGTGTGCCCACAGTCTGGAGCTGGCTCGGGTTGGGTCTAGATTGTGGCAACCAGACCCTGTTGAGAGTGCGCTCTCTCTCTCACTCATGGAAGAAATAAACTTAAAGAAAAAAAGGGAAAGGGGCATAGGGATAAGGAAGAAAAAAAAGAAATGGAAAGAAAACATAACCTGTCTGTCCATTTGGGACCAGAAGGAGCCTTTGGAATAAGAACATACATCATAAACCGCCCACTGCTGGCCATCTTAATTGGTAATTGCTGCCTGAACAATTGGGCCCCTCTTAGAAACGTGTGATTAAACCATTCTCATGCTAGCAATCTGGTAATTACTGGAAATTGAGTCAAACTGCACACATACAAAATTTGAAGCCTGTCTCATTACAACAAATTTTCGTTTGTATTGTTTTTTAATTGCCAGAGGAAGTGTGCACTTGCCAGAGAAAGAGAGGGAGAACGAAAAAGCATCTGCCCTTCAATGGATCATTGTGGTCCCACCATCATCCATTCTCCATCTCTCTATCCTGTCAGGATTTGGGGCACACACAGGCGCCCGGTGTGGTTTT